AAATGACTTCGAAAGAATAATCCTAATCTCTTATAAGGCCTTAAGTAGCTTTCTTGAAGTCCATTGGGTATGTCTTTTGGCCAATAGCAATAGAGATATTTATCATCTATCTCCATTCATCCATATAGATGTCCTAACCATTCATTTTTCTACCAAAATCTCTTTTCAATCTTTTTTTATATAAGATTTATATAAAATATGTCGTTAACACCAAATAAAAGAAACAAAATAATATTTCAAGAATTTTTAATGTCTAATAAAGGTGGCTCTAAATATATAAAAAATATTATCAATATAAAATCAACCTCAATATTAGCTCTTTTTAAACTAATTACTTTAAAGTAGTAATCTAATCATATTTTGTGACTAACTAAAATCTAATAATGCGGCTCTTACCACATTATATAATAAATTACATTTTAAATATATGTGCATTATTTTTACATGATAGCTGAATGACAACACATCACTGTGTTGCTCATGAGCTGCTTCATTGGTTGCATTGACAATCATATGACTTTGTTTGTATAATATGACAACCTTGTTTGCTAGGCTCGTCAATGACATTGTATCCATTATTGTGTAACACAATCACAACAATAATGCCAACAACAAGAATATTTTGAAAGTACTATCCTATGGTTTGTATGCACTATGGACATCTTTGTTGTACATTTCTATTAGTCAACTTAAGCTATGATTGGATAAGATGCTTAATCCATCAAAGATATTGAAAATGACCACCAAGCCATGGTACATGCCTATCAAAAGGAAATGACCTTCAAAGTTGCCATTGACAAGTGCTCTGATTCAATAATAGAATTTCATGTTGGATGGGCTCATTATGATGGTCAGTTTCTACAACTTCAAAAAAAAACTGTGGAAGGCTTGCTTCTATTTTTTTTAAGACAAGCACTATCAAATCCAACTTCTCCATGATTAGGTAAGAGAAAGATGAGTATTGGCAATACCTCATGGACTTCTTGCTTGAGAGAATCTTGAACTCTAAACAATTTGATAGAATTTATCAAATTTGGCAAGGATGGATGTTTCTGGACAACTCTATAGATGAATTTCATCTATTCACAATTTACTAAAAATAAAACGTGGCCGTGATCCTAAAATAAACTAAATTAGATATTTCAGAGAAAGTTGTAGTTTAAAGAGGCTTCATTATAATCATTTATCTACATATCACAAACAAAAACAAAGTAGACTCTTCTGTTTGTGGGAAGAAGAATTGTTGAATAAGCCCAAATAATAGGTTCAGGTTGAAATGTCAACTTTAGGTATAATGTTCACTCTTTATTATAATGCATTACATGTGTGTTGTACCCAATTGATATAATATATCTTCACTTGAGTTCATCATCTTGGATGACTAAGATAAGCAAACACATGAAATAATTGTGAACCTGCCCAAATTCTTAATTTACTACAAACGTTCATCCTCTAGGTAGAAGAGTTTGGTGATTGTTCATCCGCAGCCAGCTACAAAGGAGAACTACTAGTATAGTTTATCAATTAAAAACTGGTGAAAGAGAAGATCAAAAAAGAGATGCTAGTAGGACAATCCCAGTCATCGAAGTAGTATATGGACACACAGACAGACAGACTGGATGACTACAGACTGATGAGGGGTGCAGCATGTGTGAAGGAAGATAAGGAAATAAAGTAGTCGGACGTCGAGGTGGGCAAGGCCCCTCTAACTTCCTGGGATTTGGCGGTGGAGTCAGGACTGACAAATAGACAGACACACAGACACAGAGAGAGGGAGAGACACACACACAAACACACACACTCTCACTCTCACACACACAGAAAGACATAGGCTCTTTCTTTCTTTCAGAGTTGTCCAAATCATTGTTATTTCTTCGACTTCTGCTACTTTTGCTGCCACTGACGGCGCTTTCCTCGGCCTGCTCTTTTCCTGTCTGTCTCTTCCTCTCCTGACATAGCATAATTTTCATGGAGTTTGGACTGACAGGAAAAGGGGGTTAGTTTGCGTTGCAAGCCAGTACTTGCTGTGGATGCCTGGGCATCCCATTTGCCTTCATTGGCGCCCAACTACCTCAGGCGGCTTCGGATCAGTAAAAACTTATTATTTTTTATTTTATTAGTAGTGATTTTGATAACAATGATAATCACAAATAATAATAGCAGTATTATTTGCTATAGAAGGAAGAATCAATTGGGTTTACTTGGCCTTGATCGGAGGGAACCACAACAGCGGGGGAGATTTCTAAACTAGGATTACTTGGATTGTTTAGCTCCCCTTTTTGTTTAATAAAAGGGAAAATATTTTTAAATTGGGTAATGTAAGAGAGTTACATGGAATGTATAAGTATCCAGAAGGCTGAACTTCAAAGAATTCCTATCCATTCAAATTACCTTGTGCATGCAAATTTGTGGCATTCATCTCATGATGAAACATACATTCATTCATTACCACACACATAAATGTATGTTGGTGAAAGAAAAAACAAGAGCATTCAAAGGCTTGGTTTGAAAGGTCATAGCATATTGTGAAATCCATACCAGTTTGAAAGAGTAAACAAGTGAGGCAACACATTTGAGGTTGTCATTGTGGTTCACAGGCCCAAGGCAATAAATAAATTTGAAGCATAATATTAAAAATAATACTATTCAAGCTCTATTGCAAACATTGTCAATTATATTTTTATGTATATATATATATATATATATACATGAAATGCAATGCAATGCTTTGAAAAACTGAGTGAAATTTTACTTTTAATTTAATGTACATTGACATGTAAATTGGGTTTCCTCAAAGACCTCATTTGAGTACAAAGAAGAATTTGGAGTGTGCAAATATGTTGCTGATAGTAATAATAAAAACAATGTATATATATATATATATATATATATATATTAAAAAACAACAACAAACCCCATTCTATTATGCATTGTACTGATGTGCTCTTCATGGATGGGTGAATGGGTGCAATTCCAGCATCACCCCATCACAACTTGCTCAAGACCATACCCTTCATGCAGCCTGGACTGGCAGGCAGGCAACAAACATCAAATATGGAGATTGGAGCTCCACATGCATCTATCTTCCAAGATGAGTTCCCATTCAGTGGATTAGGAACTGTTATAGAAACAATAATAGAAACAAAGTAAGAAACACATGCATCCCAATGTTGATTTCTAATTTTGTGAGGGTTATTTTGAGTTACTCCTGATGATCAGAGATCAAGTAAGTGTGTACCCCAGCAGGGGGTTACAGGGACAGCAAGCTTTGCCCTTTAGGCATTCTAACTTGAGGAATGTACCCCAACTGTACAAATGATACTAATCTGTTGTTGTTGTTGTTTGATTGTTAGTTTGTGTGAAGGAGTGAATGGTAAAGAAAGCTTTATCAAGTGAATGAGTCACAACACTCTTGTGAACCTCCTCCTCTTCCTCACTCAAGGACTCAGCACTATTTACTCATGGCAGGTTGACATTGAGAAAAATTAACAAAGCTAAACTGAGCTTTTCACCATGCCATGCTAATTGACTTCTCTGTACAACTCGTTTTTTACTAAACAAAAAAAATATACATCCTGACAGCTTTAAAGCTACAACAAATCCAGAAGGTTATACTAGGCTACCAGTATAATTTTTTTTGTGATAATTTACATATCTGATTATGATCATTCTCTGTTATTTGTGTATTATCTCACATGCCAAGAAAAACTTTGTGGCAGTGCAAGACATCTAAATGCTGTAGCAAAAAAGCTGTAGTAGCAGTCAGCAGGTGCACACAAGAACCCCCCCCCCCCCCCCCCCCCACCCATTTTGTATACAATCTATGAGCTGAGACACTTCTGCTGCAGAGATTGTGGCAAAGGGCTGCTCAGATAATAAACCCATCCAGGGTCTGATGAATAATTTTAAACTTAGGGTACAACCTCACATAAAGATTGTGCTTGCAGAGCAGGGAAAGGGTCAGATTAAATCAACCGCAGTTTGATGTTGGGATTTGTGAATCTTCAAATTCAACCGTCATTGTAATCATGCAGATCTGCAAACCACACACATGTCCTTTGCCTTTGTTTTGATCACCACAGCATCATTTTCATTTCTTCCAAAATCCCAATTTGTGCCCCCATATCCATTTCCCTATTTAACCAGTTTCCAGATTTTTCAACTACCTTCCCTTCTCCATGTATGGTAATTTTGTTTCTGAGCTTGCACGTGGAAAGGTTTCTAAAACAAATAGTGTCACAATCTATATTTAATGTTGATCATAGTTGATTGATCTGTGTTTTGTTTTTTTTTTAAAAAATTATTTATAATAAAAATAACATGTTTGAGTCAAATCCCTTGGATTTTCCTAGTAGGACAGATCTGTGCAATTGCTCCATAGAGATATGTCCTATTGGCAAATATTGTTCTTTTTATCCCAACTGTAAACCTTCTCCTATTAGCAAATCCAGAGGAGAGGGTTTACAGTTGGGATACTAAGAACAATATTCCTGGAAATGGGCAAGTATTTTACCCTTAAATTATGGAAAGAACAACTCGAGGCTGTTGGTGAGGCTGACAACCTTCCTCCTCACAGAACCTTTTGGTTGGATTTGACCCTATGGAACCATAAAATTCAGGGAGTAGCAGCAGAGAGAGAGAGAGAGAGAGAGAGAGAACCATCCATTCCCTTCCTCAAGAAACTTGGAATTCTGTATTCATGCACTTCGCTGAGAAAAGAGCATACATGAGGGTCAAAAGTCTGAAATTCCTTTGATGGAGCCACAAGATAGTAATGCCAAGTTGGGTGAAAGGTTTTCTGTGGATCCATTCCCACATGATTACCGAACTGTACCATGCTTCACCCCACTGTGGTGCAATTGGTACCAACTCCAAAAATGGCCAAGCTCTTTGTGATGGCTACTCACAGCAAGGATTCAACACCAGCAGGGCAAATATCTGCACCTTGTGGACTCCATACTATAATTGCTCACCAGAGATAAAATGATTTCCATGTGAGGTAGCAAAAATTGCACTCAAGTGTAAATAGCCATCTCCTCAAATACATAGCATACCTCATGCTCCACACTTACATGTGTGCATAGGGATCAAATTCAAATTTAATCATCATTTCAGAATAACACTTTACATGCTTCTATCTAATAGGGAACATTCTTGTTAGCCTGGTCTTCCTGAATTATCTGTGCACGATAAAAACAAAAATAGAAAACGGTTGAAGCACAATCAAATCCCACATGCAAATCAATTGTTGGTGGGAGTGTCTATTAGGTCTCCCTAAACGTTTTTTTTAGGCTGTTGTGAGGACTGATTTTAACCACTTGTCCTTCACTTCCTCCGGCCAGTTGTATTTCTGCATCACAAACCAGTATTCCGTTATTCAACAACCACCATCGTACGATTTATAACGTCTATCCTTGCATATTAAGCCATGAATCCGAAAAAACCTTAGCATAATATTGCTGGACTAAAATTTTCGTCCGACTGATATCACTCAAACTTCATGGGAAGATGCACTTAAATATGTACCTTCAAGTGCTTCGTCAATTCTAGGATGTAATGGTTCTGAATCGATGATTGTGACAATACAATACGTTCGAACTTATGCTTCTCCGGGTGTACCACACGTGCTCGAATTGGACGATCTTCCGATTTTCCCGGTTTTTTATAAACACAGTGATATATTTTCCCTGGTGGAAAAAGGCGTTGGGTATCATCTGTAGTTTTACTCATCTGTAACAGTTGTTTGGACAGGTATACGAGTAAGGCGGCATCAGGCCTGCATTCATGTTTATCCGCTTAGTGACGTTCTCAGGGGAGGGGGGCATACAAAAGAAAAAGGAAAAGAGAAAGAAGAAAAACAATTTGCCTAAGTCGAGCATACTGTAAGATTATCAAGCCCTGCAGTCATAAGCCTTTATCCGCCTGCTGATTTTTGTGTGATTTCTACTCTCATACATCTATATTGCGGACTTCATCGGGAACCTCAGAAGTTGATCTAGCAGTGTGTTAGAAAGCATACTTGAAGATTGAGAGTTTGCAGATAAATTTCTTCACAGCCTGCGTTGAAACTCTTGGTAGAAAGTCGTCCTAGTACACAGCAATCAAGTCAGCAAATATGCTACACAATCCATGAAAGCAACGTTTTCGGGTAGCAATGGAACAATATTGGTTAATTAGGTATGTCTCTCTATGTAAAAACTTAAGCACTAAAAATGAAAATTCTACGAGTTCAATGAGACTCTCATAGTATACAGGTCAGACAAAGAAGTATTTGCAATTCACGTGCTTAGGATTAGGAAAATCCAATTTTTCGTAACAAACTGAGTGTCACCCATCAATCAAAAGATAGAGCCACTGAGAACTCGTACCTGGTATATTACACTAGTGATTGGAAGAGAATACTTGAGCGCAAGATCTAGTGACATCACTCGTGGAGGGGCAATAGCTATGCAGCTAATCAAGTCCGAACTGATGCCTCCAAGCTTCTTTGTGTCGCAGATGAGGAAAAGTGTCAACAAAGAGGCCACCCCGGCTCCAAGTGAATGCCCTACTATTGTCAACCGGTATCTACGCATCATGGCGGAACAACACATGTTAACTACTGATGTTACAGAATCCTCATATTTCTGGAGCATCCGGTTAAAAAGTTAGAACTTTCGGATCACTTCTCATGATCCATCAGACATGACAATCGCTATCTGCTGCATTACATCTTGAAATGTGGTATTCACAAGAAAGGTACATTAGCTTATGGAGCAAAGTTGCCACACCAATACTAAAGCAAATTCTGAATCCACAACCAAGTGCTGAGACAATTCATTTGCAAGTCCTACCCTGGGTTAGCCATAAGTAGCTTCTTCAAGTCTGGTGCTACTTTCTCGACTGCCCATTCAGCAGCCTCTGACATGCCAAAATGCACGTAACCCCCATCAAAAGGCTGCACATGTATTACAAAACATTCGATTACAAATCGAAGAGTCCTTTAATATTCAACCTTGACACAAAGGAAACTTCAAATTCGTTAGGTGACACTTCCTCGGTAATAAACTTTAATCGAATGGGACAGTAATCGTTCTGGTTGTAGGACCTTTTCACCCCTGCGATTATTCAAGAGAACCTTGTAGTCTTCTCGGTGCATGAGGTTGAGACCTCGAATGTACATGCTGACTTCTTGACGTTCTTTATCGACATATATGAAGTACGGAGGGCATGCACCAGGCATTGATGGCCTCTGAAAATCAACGACTCCATTCGGCTCAAACGAAGGATCGTGCTCATTGATGTCTTTTGTCAATCCTTTTTTATCGTTCCCATATGCTCCTAAATTCTGGGGTTAGGAATCAATGTGGGCATACATCAATTACCTTGATTTGCAAGATCTCACCAAGTAACATCCAACTTCACTATGAAGTGAATGAAAAAAGAAAAGACTAAAATGATAACTTATGCCTACTTATTGATGCCTGATGTGAACTCACCTAATATGGCCTCAACGACGTTTGAAGCACACATGATGGAAACAAAAAATAAATAACTGCTGGACTACCTCAGCTGCTAGAAAGATTGTTCTTACAATGGCAAACATGGCACAATGTACCAAGAAAGCGCTTTCTTTTGCATGGAAATACTGAGATCCTCACAGCAAGCGTGGAGCAGTCATGGTGCATACGAGACCCTCTATGAAGTGATGAATAATATGAAAAGGGCGATGAAAGATTACCATGATGATATAGCGAAAGATCCTCTTGACCTCAGCACATGCTACCCTCGGACATCCTTGAGAATCCAGGGAGCCTTGCCAAAAGATACGTGGTGTACGGAACTTTCCATGCACGTCACCGTATATATCATCATCATTCTGAGTCCCAGATGTACCTACACAAATTCATGCAGCGCCTAAAATCTCAAGCGGATAACATTCATGGAGATTCTGGTTTTGAATTTAGTTGGAGAGCGAGGCGCTTCGAAGAACAAAAATGTCAAGAGACAATTTGCTCTGCAATTGGTACGATAAGTCCAACGATGATCAACATATAATGAGTTTGTGCTAAGACTTTGATGTTTCCCGCAAGCCTCATACCAAGTCAAGAGGAAATACATTTCCAAGTAACCTGAAACTAGTTCCAAAACGACGATAAAATATGGCTTACCGGGACCCTCATAAGAGATTTTCGTAATGTTACTAGCTCCCATACCACCTGCCTCATTTCTTCTGCGAAGGTCCTGCTCTCTAGCCTCCTCGTCCTGAAGTCTATGGTCGTCTTCATTCTTCACATTATACCAAACGTTGAATAATCCTCCGTTCAAGTTTTGTGCCATCTTTTTTTGTTGGTCTTTACATACTCCTGGATGCACTGCTAATTCTAGGAAGTTTGTAACTAAGAGAATAAAGGAAAATAGAAGTCTTCTAGATATTGGCTGAAGAATACTGGAAATGTAGTTGTCATTCAAGTATTCGATTCGTTTATCACAAAAAGCGTCAGAAAAAATCCCTCCCCTGCAAGCACGCTATAGAGCGTCAGACCTTGCCCAAGTTTGTCTGACAAGAAAAACTGTGTAAAACACAACATTTATGATAATGATGCCGCAGAGCATTCAAATATTGTGAGAAACATTCACTTGTTATAAGGCATGAAACTACCCCTCTGAAGGCAATCGGCAAAAATCTGAGCACAGTCTACTCCTATGATCGTTATTGCAACTGTTAGTTAACTCTATTTTATTTTGAATCGGTTCATAACTTTCTTCAGGCAGTACTCTGCATCCATACACGCTGGCTCGCATCTCATGAATCAAAGAAGCCACGAGATGGCGACAGTCCTCCCTGCATTTCTCTTCGAGAACTTGACCATTTGTGCAATATCTTCTCATAAGCAGCTCTTGCTCATATTCAGAAAGAAACCAGCACAAGCGGTTCTTGTTCTGCTAAGATCAAGGTGCTCAGATTTAACAACCCTCTAATCTCATGGTAATCAAGAACCCCAGAAGATAACTAATTATTTACATTAGACTCCACACGAACCTATTCATACCCTGAGGATGCTACCAAAACTTGAAAAGCGTTCTCAAGATGCAAGCCCAACAGTCGAGGTTGTGGGTACAAATATTGTGAAGATATCAATAGACTTTCTACAAGAAAATTACTCGCTTGCAAGTATTTACTACCTTCGCGAATTATTCAGTCACCGGCAACCAGTATTCCCGAAAACGTGAGTGTCCCATTCTAAAATGTTACTGACTTCGATCTCGGTAACGTAGACTGCGATAGAATTGGAATTCTTCTCTGTGTGAAAATTTACTTCCGTTGCGAGTACACATACATGGATCAGATAACGTCGGATAACGCGTTAGCAAAGGTGAAAAACAAATATACTGTTTACTGCTGACACTGCCGACGACTCATCAACAACTTCGAATTCAAAGAGACAATTGATACTCTATGTGGTTTTTTTAAGCCTTTCTTTTTTCAACTGGATAGAAATAAACTAACAAACAAATCTTTAGCTCAATATCCAATTAAATGGCCATGGATAATCATGAAGTGCCTCAAAATTGCGTAGAGTAACAATATTGCGAACAATTTTTCCTGCCAACTCTGCCATGCTTGTCGAGTGAAATTGAATTGTGAGTTTACCTGGCAGCAAATAGTTCCAGCAAACAATTCCTACGAAAAGCAGTTCTAGAAAAGGGCAGCTGAACTCGTCTACTCAGAAAACCCCCTGCAGTTTTTAAGTATCCATCATTCAATTCTGCGATTCACTCCACACATACCGCTTCTAGCAATGTTGCATCGAGTCAAGATCTTTTTGACAGTAAGCACTACGGAAATGAGCCGTTGACCTCCGCGTGCTTTTAAATCAGTCAAAAAATAATTCAAAGAATAACAACTCTTTTGTAATACCTCAAAACCAACAACGCTTCAGAACAGAAAATTTGACCAACCCCAGCGCAAGATAAATGTCTGTTACTACTTAAACTCTTCCTTAAGCTAAAAATCTTTGCCCAATTCTCTCGACTGACACGATACAAATCTTAAAAATAGGAGAGCAATCTTTCACATCCAGACTTGATCAATTCAGTCGCAAAATCCATCTCTCAAAACCATCTCCCGTTCACAACAGTACTTTACCTCTTCTTTATCAAGCTCTAGCAATTCAACCGCCTCGCACCTTGCACCTTGCCAATGCCACAACCCTCACCAAGTGAAAGAAAATTTCAAAGTCCGATCAACCATACTCTCAGCTCCTCCACCACCGCCACACTCCGCGGCAATCCACCGGAAAGAAATCCACATCAACCCTCTGGCTATCGCCGCAACGACCAAGACGCAATGGCGCCGGCTGCAGAGTACTTTCATTGGTACTCTAAACCTTCCAAGCATATTCGCACAGAAAAATCAAAGTTACAGAGAAAGAAATCCATATACTAAATTCAGCATAATACCTGGTCTCGGTTGTAACACAATCAGCAGCGAAGGGGGGGCTTTCAGAGGTGGCAGTGGCCTCGACTCGTCAGCAAACAATGGCGTTCCATTAGGAGAGGCGAGTCCATCGCAGAGCGGGAGAAGGAATTGGGCACGGAAGAGAGGAGCTCCGAGGGAGGGAAGGGAAGGGAAGGGAGAGAGCAAGAGAAAAGGGTGTGGAGGAGGAGGAGCTGCATACGCTAAGGAGGACCATGGAAATGACCACAGGGCTTTCATGGGACGACAATTGGGGGGGGGGGTGGGGGGGGGGATGGACTGAACTGAGGAAGACAGTGAGGGAGAAAGGGAGGAGGACGGAAGAGATGGATGGATGGATGATTACATCCACACATCCATTCATCCACCTTTCCAATTCCGTGTTGTTGTTGTTGTTGTTGGTATGTATGTATTCTTTTTCACACTGGTGGCCACCTTCTCGCTCGCCCCTACCCTGGTTTCGCGTGAGGGTCCATACCCCCCCAGTTTTAATGACACCTACCACCCGAAAGGCTAACTCCCATCGCCTTGGCCTGCGCCTTCTCACAAGGACAGGGTGGTGACGCGGCTGCCGATGTGGAAGCTGTCCCTCGGCACCCGTAGGACGACACCTCCTCACCTCCTGGTCTTTTTCATGGGTGGCTGCCATGTCAGCGGGTGCCAGCTGGGAGGAGATCCTCAGGCAACGCGGTAGTGGGAGGAGAGGCAGAACATCCGAGCTGGACATTCGGGTGGCGGACGCATGAACGGGCAAGTCATTAGATGGATGAGGGGCTAAGCGTGGATGGACGGATGTATTGTTGACGGACCATTGAATGAACCGCACGGAGTTCCTCAATTTAAGATTTATTGCAAAATAGTGAAATTTGTGTAGGGGTTCTCGAACTGGAAATTTAAGATGTGTCATTGAAGACTCTTTTCTAACATTAATAAAAATAAAAAGTAGTTCAAAATATCTTCTCATCTTCATAAATATGTTACCTGTTTGCTACTGCATGAATATGACAATAATATTTTCTATCATATGTATAAGCATTTATTGATGCATTGATGTAACAAATATTAAATTTTTGATAAATGGAAGGTCGAAAAGCAAGTTTATATTGTAGTCAAAATTTGTGGACTACCATTGTATCAATAAAAGATTAGTTTTTATGGATTTTGCTACATGGTAAAAGTATGATATATTAATATATGTGTGTGTGTATATATATATATATATATATATGTGTGTGTGTTAGAGCTAAGATATGATTTATGATACTTTAAAAAATTGAGCAAGTTGTAGTATCTATCATTGAGATAAAGTTTTTAATCTAGTATTATGATTTAGTTATGCAAAAAAAATATTGTTATGAACCAAGGTTTAACAATCTTGAAGAACTCTATATTGGTAATATTTGATAATTAAAATATTTTATAACTACTTTTAATACAATAGTAGGATTTGCACAATCTATAGTATGTATGACATTTTGGTATTTAATTGCATGATAAAAGATAGGCTTAAGCTACAAATACATCTCAAGTTGCTATACATAAATCCATTATGTCTATATATACATCTAAAGCTTTTGATTGGCTCATTGACATTTTTTTTTTTTTTTTTTTTTTTTTTTTTTTAATCTCTTGGCACATGTTCCAATCCAAGCAAAAACACATGCCAGAAGAAAAGAAGTGACATATGATGAAGTATTGGAAATTGTTGGGATGGAAAAGCTATTCTAGCTGGGGCCTAAGGAAGGACTTACTCTTATGAATAATATTCCAATTAGATCAGCTTTGAAATCCATTATCTACTTTGGAGCAAATATGTTGGTCATGATGGTTGAAGTTTTGAGCATGTTTTTTTATTAGGTAATATAAGGAAAGCCAAAGATTATATATCCATTGATGCATAAATTGAAACATCATCTTTGAGAAATGGAGGCTGTGGCAATGATAGAATGGATACTAGATAGAAACTCCTACATAAAAGCCATTGTAGAAATATATACCATAAATTTGTTAAATAAGTCCAAAAAAGATTACTATGCATTACAAACCATCTAGTAGTGGCTTAAACTCTATATTGAAACAATCTAAATAACAATACATTTTATTCACAAAAAAATCAACTTTATAATTAATAATCTTTTAATTTATAATAATATCAAAATTTGGTTTCAGTTGACAAGGTTGGACAATAACAAGAACAAGAATGAAAGTACAAAAAGTATATTGATTTTATATTTCTTATTATTATTTAGACCCTTGTTTAAGTAAAATAAATTATATGTTAAATAAATCATCCTAAAACTTTCTTAATAGTATGATCTCATTTTTATAATATCATTTGTTTAAATAGATGAATAAATCTTAGTAGTTTGGTAATAACAAATGATATCTTTTGACCCTTCAAGGCACCATAACAATATAACTTCTTGTATTTAACATTATTAAACTATCAATAAAAACAAGTGAGTGATTTTGATTTTTTGTAATATGTTATCAAAGCAACACTAAAAGTAGCAAGTAAATGTACTTGTGAGCATTGCTTTTTGATCAAATTTTCTATATTTCATTAGAACAAAATTTGTAGTAGAGAATCTTAATGATAAAGCTTTGCTTCCATAATCTAGATCATTTCTCTAATATTTATTATGTAGAAAATTATGACTAAAGAACAAACTTCTATAATTGTAATAAGAGCAACAAAGAAGCAAAAAAAATTTAAATTATAATGTATAGAAGCTTAAGATGAGAGTAAGTCTCAAGCAAAAAAACTTATGGGATCTTGTCACGGATATACATAGGTAATCTAATAAATACCTATATGATTATATAGAAGTAGATAAAATTAGATAAAATTAAGCTAATTTCATAATATCTTCTAGAGAAGCTTCTTGGAAGCTTTATAAATCGTACTTCGATTTTACGTGTATTTGTAATTAATTAGTAGATTAGAAATTTAGTCAACAAGTTAACCACATGTTGGTAGCTTGTAGAATAAGCTAACCATGTGGTATACATATAGAAAACTTATCTTGTAAGTTAAGATACTTGTCTTGCAAAGTCAACATGTTTTGGAGGTCCTATAAGACATTACTACAAAGCTCCTAGTTAAAAGTATATTTGGAGGTAAGAGAGAAGCCTTCTTCACTCTTGTCAATGTCTTTCTAGTCTTTAGTCTTATTTCAAGACTTTTTGATCTTTTTGTTTTTGGCAATAGCTATTTTAGTTCAATATTATATCATCTTTGATTGACTTTCTAGTTTCTTTCAATGACTTAAGAGTATATTGAGGATTTTCTCTCTTTGAAACTCATGTCTTTGATAATTTGATAAGAGTACTAACTTAATGTTTCTATCTTGTTTTAGAAGTGAATGGATTATTCGACTTCGATTGTTGTATTTTGAAGGTTGTAGAATGTCCACCTTGAAATAAAAAATATTATTTTTTAGCACTAATTTTTTCCTTAAAGAGTAGATTATTCTTTTTTGTGAAAATTTTCATTTGATATTAGAGATTATAGATGATCTTTCTTTAATTTAATTTTTTAAATTTGTTTGAATTATCTATAAAGAAGGAAAGATTATGGATGCTACTTTCAATAAAAATGAGAATAGATTTACAATTATTGTAGATCTTCATGAGCTTGATAATATTATAAGAGTGGAAATCTCATGTATTTCTAATATAAATCATGGAGGTACCATGCCTACACCTATGGAAGAAGTTCAGTGTTTGCAGCAAGAAGTTGTACATTTGTGGGAAGCAAGTAGATTCACCTTGAAACCAAATTTAGAGAATTTTTCTTCGATAAGTATAATGGAGACAAGGATTAATATGCTTCAGAATTTTGATAGAATAAGATCAAAATTTCAAAGATTTTTGTAATAAGTGAAGCTCTATCTAAGGTTGTATTCTTTCTAATATCTTGACGGATTTATTCAATTTGGATTCATAGGCATACTTCTATTAGGAAGCACTCTTTTTTGGTTTGCACTTTTAATGGAAAAAGATTTGTAATTCTTTTATGATTTAAATTCATTCCTAGAAGTGTTTACAACCATATTTGAAGAAAATGATGGAAACAAATAGAAAAGACTAAGGTCTTATTTTTATGAAAAAGATCACGATCAGTTACAATATATGCTACTAAATTCCAAAATATTGCTTGCAATATAAACTAGAATGATAAAGCCCTTATCAATCAATTTTGATATGGATTGAAGGATAATGTCAAAGATTTATTATTAATAATATCAAAGGTATAATCTTTAAAATAATTTATTGCTCAAGCCATTATATGCAATAATTGATTATTTAAAAGATGTCAAGAATAAGAAATTAACTACAGAGGAATAAGTCAAATAATGACGAGAGCTCCCAAGTTTTTAGAAACTCATTAATCAAAGCTAGAACCAATGCAAATTGATATGATATATTTTAAATCTCTCACACAATAGAAAAATACTCAACAATATCAAGAAGGCTTATACTTATATTGTGGAGAAGCTAAATACAATACACAATATTATTCAAAGAAATAATGCAACCACAAAATGAGAAGAATGGTTGCCAAAGAAGATGAGGTGTTGAAAAATAAGTTTTTCCAACTACAATAGGGACCATGTAGCTCAAATCTCAAATAACTCTTAATAAAGGTCATATTCTTTTCTCATATCTTTTACCTTGTTTTACAATAGAAGTTTATTTAGGACCAAAAAATCACAAAGTCTTAGCTTTGTTAGATTCAAGAACCTCACCTTGTTTTATAGACAAAGATTTTATCAAAAAACAAGAAATATCATTAGTCAAAAAAACTAAACATGTATGTGTAGAAGTCATAGATGGTCATTTGTTATCTTTTGGAGATGTTATGCATAAGACTGTTCTTTTAGATATAGAAATTAAAGATCATAATAGTATAATAATATTTAATGTAATAAGATCTCTATATAATTTGATTATTTTAGAATTATCTTGATTAAAAAAGTACAATCCTCAAATAGATTGGATTTCTTATAACCTTAATTTTTTTGATAGTTTAATCTAAAATTTTGTTAGTCAACTAGAAATATATAACTCTAATACATACAAATTATAACAAGTTATAGATAAGATAGTTGTATTACTAACTCATAAGGATAGATAGTTAAAACAATGTTTGAGAAGTTATGGAAGTTTTTAGAATTGAAGTTAGATTTATGGACTAGATAGGATCCACCATGGAAT